GTTGGCCATGGTCGTGAATGTGATGTATGACGAAACTCACCGAAGGTGATACAGTTTTATTTTCCATATTCCGATTCCCCGTACGTGTTACTTTCATACATAACCTAGAATACTCAATAGACACTTTGAAAACCCACGGTTCCAGCTGCGAAATAGACCCGGTTTAGGCTGGCCACCCCCCCCCCGCGTTCTTGCCTTGATCTTGCCCTCTGTGAAGTACGAGCATGGATCGCTAGAGAAGCCTCGAGCACCAGAGAGAAGCCAAGCCACGAACACGAGAAGCTTTGGGCTTAGGCGCTTGGAGAGCTTCGCATCTCGGTCATTATCTTGGGTCAGGCTCTGGTGTGCTTTAATGTAAGGCCTCTGCCAGAGGGAGCTTCCTATCTGTGGCAGGTGCTTATTCTCAAAACCACCTAACTCTAATTTTCGGACTCCGGACAGTAGGAGCCCCAGCTTCAAAACCAAGGAAAGCTTGCCAGCTCGACTGTCATCATCGCCAGCTCTTCAAAACGGGAACTTACAGAGTTACAAAGAAATCCCGAATGTTGACCGTAATCTCACCCGCCCCCTTGCTCTTTCGCCACGCAGCTCAGACCTTCATAGCTGTTTACTCTGAAGTCCTGCGATCGCAAGCAAGTCACAGAGCTTTGTCAATAGCTGTCTGCCTGACCTGTCCCGTCACGGCTGCTCCGGTGTCAGGACAAAGTATATAGGGAAGGGCAAGAAAAAAGCCACTGGCCCAAATGACTAGTCTTAGCAAAGGACAGCTACACACACTGCGGCCTTCAGATCTGCCGAGGTTCATAGCAAACAGTCCCATGCAACAAGGGGCGAGATCCACAGCCCGGAGCAAGAAACATGCGCCGCCCGCAACATGCTCTTAGTAGCACTTGCTCTTCCATAATCGCCTGGTGTCTCACCGGGAACACAAACAAACACTGCATGCGCTCATAAATACACACACACATACATACGCTGTATATGTTTTATGTATATATATATATATGTGTATACTGTATATATATATATATATATATATATATGTGTGTGTGTGTGTATATATATATATACATTGTGTGTGTGCACACTACCTTCTGCTGGAAAGCCCTCCTCAGCCCAGCAGGGAGGTCCTTCCACTGCTGGCAGTTGCCCCATGTCAGCAGCTGTTCTAATGTGACCAAGCTGTGACCATCTGGGTTGACATCCAGGATGTACCAGTACCTCATCCGGCTTAGCACGGTCTGGGAGCCCTAAATATGTGGCTCAATAATGAGAACTGAGTTTGGTGGGCTTGGATCTGCACAAGGCCCACTCAAGTCAGATCTATCTCAGGTTGTTTCAGTGTTGCTTCTTCTTTCAGACCGAGGCGGAAGTCCAACAAAATGACTACACTAATTACGGTGACAATGTAGCCTTTCAGCAATGCTTCATTGCTCATTGCTGCTGGGGCCACATGAAGATGCCAACCACAGCGCAGCCAACATATGCGCCGACCTCAGTGAACCCCGAAATGACAGCCTCAACTTGAACTTCGGCCGACAGGCCTGGTCCGGGGGCGGTTGGTTGAGGCAAAGACATGTGCGAATCTCATGAAGGAAACATCTCTTGCTTAAGACCATTTCCCGATACTGAGGCATGGGCCACGAAGTAGCGGACGTAGGACCAGACGGAGATCAGAGCGTCGTCTTTCCGTCGCGGCGCTTTCTTCATCACCTGGTGTGCGGCAGTCAAGATTGCTCCAAGGTGGTGTAGAATAAATCGCGTAGCACCGAAAGCATGAACCTGTCACCTCTAACCTCAAACCGGCTCACGTTCCGCGAGCATGTTGCTCGGCCCACCGCCACCCCAAGGGACCCTGGGCCCGTTTTTCAGACGCTTTTAGGGTCTTAAGTTTTTGCTTTGGGCGGAGTGGGTTCTCGGCCAAGGAGCATCCAGGTCAGGAGGGTTGAAACCAAGTGCAGTGGCCGGGGGGCCGTCGGTGACCAGGTTCACCTCAGACACGGAGGAGAGGTGCCAATGTCGCACTCCTACTAAATCGGCCATGTGCTGCGTGTTCGGAGATTAGCCCGAAACGATGTCCCCAACACGGCAAGTCTTGGACTGCTGAAGACACTGAAACAAAAAGCAACATTCCCGCAAAGTACTTGCAGTCTTACCGGCATCAAAACAACGTTGTCCGAGGGGCCCAAAGGAGCTGGACTGGCGTGAGGCCCTCCGGCACGCCGAGGGCAGCCGTGATGAAAATGGCTGCAACCTTGTTGGCGGAAACGCTTCCTATGAACTTGTCATGGTAAACCTGAAAAAATCTGCAACGATATGCACTTGTCCTGGCTTTCTCTGACCTCAGCTGTCAGTCCGAGTCCGCCCTAGTTCCTCGGCTTTTGAAATCTCGGCGCCGACGGCGGCATCGCAGCACTACCCATTCAAGGTATCACAGGCTGGGATAGCTGGGGCATGCATGAATCTCGGGCAAGAATGCCCGCATTCCTCTTCTTTGCGGACAGTTGAGAAAGGCGACTCCTGCTAGTTCCGAAACGGAGGGCCTCATGACTTCATCTCGAGACAGACAGGCAAGGCATTCCTGTAACGATCTTCTGGCCTTCAGTCCTTTATGACAAGCAAGTCCATATTATTCGCGCTACGATTCGCTCTGCCGAGAGACTTCTCCGACGTTGGACGAGATCATGTATCGGATGAAGGCCTGACATGGGCTGCTGGCCATGGAATTAAACGGCCTCATGCTGCCATCCTGATTGTTTCCACTGGATACTGTGGATGCAGGTCTTTACGCATGTTACCTGTAGCATTCCAGCATTGGGAGCTCCTATGCATCACATCTTTAGGTAGCAAGAGCTCTCAATCAACCATATTCCGACAGCTTCCTTCCCGAAAGAGCCGGTGAACGCAGCTTCGTGTTCTCGGCTCTCTTCCAACCGGCCCGCCTTCATGTTGTTGTAGATGGATCGGCCTTCCTCCACGGCAGCCACGATGCTCGTGAAGTTGTCGTCGGCCTACGCGGCCCAGTGCTGCAGCCGCCGCAAGTTTCTAGGACAACAGAAGACTTTACCGGAATTTAAAAATCTATGTACTGTATAGACTATAGTATCCGCCGTTTAATCAAGTTGTTGATGCCAGCTCGTCCCGAGCTTGCTCACCCTGCCGGACATTGCAAGCCAGCTCTTCCCCCCGACTTCTCAGAGTTTCCGAGAGAACCCAAAGCCCGGAATCCGGCCAGGACCATGTCCGAGGCTTCCTTGGCAACCTCGGTACCTGCCAGGAGTGTGGATTCTGAACGTGTGTCTTGAGTTCAGGGGTGTGTGAGAGGTTCACACCTCGGACTCTGCCAGATAAGGTCAGGGTTTCGGGCGAGCTCTGGGACTTCGATGATTCGCTTTTGACGGAGCTGTGTGCCCTTGACAAGGGATGCATGCAAGTACCAGCTGGGAGCTCGGGGCAGCAGCGGGCCTGCTATGCCCATGGCGATGCCAATGTCGGCCTGCTCTCAAGCAATCTACCCAGCCATGAACCCTCAGGGTGCTCTAAACAGGCATTGGGAGACGGTCCGGATTCATGCACGTGTCAGTCAGGCGGGAGAAAATGCTCCAGATTGAAGCTTCTGACAGGCAAAACTGGCATAACAAGTCCTGCACCATCAGCAAGTGCTGTAACCGCGTCTTGCACGATCAGCTGTGCCTGTTTCAAAGCCGGCGCATCATTGACGCCATCGCCAGTCATGGCCGCGATCTCGTCCAATGACTTGAGGATCTTGACCTGAAGACGAAAGCCAGGATATGAAGCTGAGCAAAGATCTGGAACGTGCTTTGTGACTACGCCTGAAGCGAACCAAACCTTCTGTCCTGCAAGTGCCTACACGGCCCAAGCCTGCCTCAATAAATAATCAGCTATTAGAACCACGAGGTGGTTTTGTCACTCTGATCACTGGGAGGTGATTCAAACGGCAACGCCTTGCCTACCCGAATTTGGAACATCGGCCCAACTACGCCCGCCAGAAGCCCTCCGAAAGCTCAGATCTTAGTAAATCTAAACCTGTAGCCCGACAAAGCTTGCGAGCAAAGATGCAATCAGCTGCTTGTGCTTGGGCTCGGTACCTCGGCGAGCCGAAGAGTGGGCCGGAACTTATTGTGGATGAGTTGATGTAGACCCCTGGTTTCCGGTCGAGCCTTCTGCCTGCAACAGGGGATTTGTAGCAGGGCTTGCGATTGCACATGCGATCCAATGGACTGCCCGAGTCGAGAAGCCTGAAACACAGGGCACTGCTTTCGGTCTCCAGAAACATCTACAACAGCTCCTCGGATCCAAGCGTTGTGAGACAAGTGAATCGTAGCTCCAAGTTCAGGTTGGTCGCGGGAAAACACTGCGCCCTCGATATCTCTGCGCTCCATGATCTTCTGCAGCACCTCCCATCGAATCGAGCGCACACAACACCAGGAGACGGAAGGTGAGAACGGTCGCGGACCCTTGCGGCTTGGCGTGGTAACTGCCAAAGCTCAAGAACTCCTTGGCCAAGAATCCCAAGCCGGAAAGCTCCCTAAGTTCATACCTTGACCAAATGCCTGTACTTTGCACAATCTCCTTGAAGAAATCCTATCGCAGGCCTTGATGAACTAGTAAAACCCATACCTTTTTGCATCAGGGCTTGTTCAATCGCCTGAATGTCTATACCGAAACCCCATATCGTGGGAGCTAGGATTAGGGGGGCCCTTGGGGATATAG